TTCTACTAGGATTATTTTGCAATTTCCACTTCGTAAAATATCGATAATATTTAACTAAAAATTTTAGAAAGACTAATGAAAATTAATTTTTTCGGGATGGGGTATCAAGCCGGGACCCGGATACAAAAAAAATATTGATAAGTCAGGTGGAACAATCCAATCCAATGATATGGTCTTTCGCCCTTCTCAGTTGATTTGTAGGCTCGTCGGCTGTATCACAACCAAGCTGTTTCTGTAAGATTTTGAAAGACAGTGTTCAATCTAAATTGTTGAATAATAGCTACCTATTTATATAAATAGCATTAAATAACAAGTACAATAAAGAAAGGCTTTATTGTACGAATAATTTTATGACCGAGCGAGCTTGCGAGCGAGGCTGTTAAATAATAAGTCAATATTCAATAAAGCCTGTTTATGTGAGCGTAATACCTACGTAATGTAAATTTAATGCGTTAATGTAAATTTCCATCTCAGATAAACTTTGATCTCGGTGATAAATAAAATAAATAATTATTGTACAGGTGGGTTTATACAGCACATAAAATAACATAAGAAATAAGATAAAATAAGACATAACATAATAATATTACCATTTTTCCTTTTAACAGTTCCATATTTTATAAACTGTGCTCTTATGGTATCTTGCTCTAATTTTCTTTTCTACTCAAAAAAGTCTTCCTTATTATTAAATGTTAAATTCTCCCTCTCATGTCATTGATAATAAGACAAACTATCGAATTATAATTAATAATTTTGTGTCAAATGAATAAAGAGACGGTAAACAAAAATGCTAGTAAACCGCCGTTTGTCACGTCGCGCCAAATTTTAAAAGTTTTGTTCCTACACTTTCGACCATATTCGTGGCGTTGCCTCCGTGTGATCCGCAGACGCTTGTCACTTATACTTCACTCAGTTACCAATCCAATCCAAGATTCTGCTTGTTTAAGAAAAGCAATTAGAAGCCACAAGGTATTCCAGCGGCGTGTGGTGAAATTAAGAGATTCGCCGAAAAATTACGATAATATACGGGTAATATTCCAAAATTAGGTGAATTTCACAAATAAGTAGGGATTTTTACATATTTTACCGTAATAATACACTCTTCAGTAGAATATTTACGATACTATTGAGTAAAAATACACAATTTTAGTAAAATATCGTTTAATATCACGAATGTTATTTTTGGCGTAAAAATCCTTTAAAAATTATATTTTTTTAAAGCATTCTTAATGTAGTTTTCACCCTATTTTTAACAGTGTATAGTCAATCGAGACGCCAAGGGTCGAGATTGACTATTAATCTCGAGACAGAAATGAAAACTTTCCTCTGATGTTTGTATCCATTAAAATTTTTAAAAAAATGTGACACACAAAATTTTAAAAAGTCAGTAATGTCAAGATTACATATTACTATATGTTTGCAAATAATAGTTATTTTTCTACTGACATTTCATAATACGCTATTAAACGATTAAAATCTGTTTCATAATGAACTTCATTATGATACAGATTTCCATTATGATACAGATTTTTCAGCCTCTGGAATCGAGTATTTTGAACATGAACAATGTTTATATAAAAATAACAGACTTGCTTTGGAATTTTGGATTGTTTCTATTAGTATTTACCAGAAGAAACAACAAAAAATTAATAGGTCTGTTTCTGCAGAAATCACAAACCAGTCAGAGCGAATTTCATTGGTTGAAACTACTTAGTTTTCTGACCGTTTTCATCCAATGAAATTGGCTCTGACTGGTTCGTGATTTCTGCAGAAACAGACCTAATAAATCGGGTACGGAATTTATGCCCAAATGACGTCTACACTGAGAACATTTTTTCATTGTCATAGCTAATTTTTCTGCTGCCGTAGCCAAAAATTTTGGCTACATAGGGGACAGCCAAGATCTTTACTACCGCCGAAAAGATAACTTTACTGGCACCGTTTATTTGCGGTAGCAAAGTGACTTTATAAAGAATTTACTCACAGTTTCTACAAGGTCACTTTGCTGGCATAGAAAAGCTACTTTGCTGTCGTAGGAAAGTAACTATGCTGTCCTAGAAAAGAGGTTATATACCCTCAAAAACATCCTTTTTTGCTATTGAAAAGTAGATTGTTGTTGTTATTAGAAATGCTTCCTGAAATAGGAAAGCGTTTGTCTCAGAAAAAAAAATTTCTTGCCAGAATCAGCCAAGTGTTTTATTAGCCATGGGAAGTTATTTGTTTCACCAATAGCAAAAATATTTTGCTGGAAATCTTTGGAAATATGTACACTGAGAAAAGTCCCAGGAGAAAATTCTTTGCTGGTTTTTTTTTAGCTGTTACAGTGGAAAATGTTTTAGAGGTAGCAATGTTATTTTGCTTCTACAGAAAAGACCACTTTGCTGAAACTACTTTATTGAAACTGCAAAGATATTTCTTATTCCAAAACCAAACTTTGCTGTTATAGCAAAATTAAAATTTTATGAAAATATTTCTGCTTCTCCGAAATAGAACTTTTCTAAGACAGATAGATACTTTACTGTTGGAGCAAAAAAAAATTCCTGTAATTTTTGTTATTGTTACAGTAATGTTTTTTGCTACCCTAGCCAAATAACTTAACTAAAAATACCGTTCGGACATTTCCGTGATTTCTTCGGGTCCAAAAATAACCGATAAAATATGTTTCGTGTTCATTTTCTTCCATTTTAGTTTAGTAGCTAACGCAGTACGGTGTGGATCGTGGATGCTGTCGAGTCAAGTCGAGTGTCGGTCGCTGGGAATCTTTTTGGAAATGGTGTCAGCGCATCCATCAAAACTAGCAGAAACAACTCTAGCGCCAAACTTTTCATTAATTGACATTATTTCAGATCAGGTAATGAAAGTTTAGGGGTTTAAATAGAGTTTGTTTATCTCCTGGTTTTGTTATGATGGACGCGCTACTACATATTTCCAAAGATTTCCAGCAAAATATTTTTGCTATTGGTGAGACAAATAACTTCCCATGGCTAATAAAACACTTGGCTGATTCTAACAAGAAATTTTTTGTTCTGAGACAAACGCTTTCCTATTTCAGGAAGCATTTCTAATAACAACAACAAATATCTTTTCTGTCTTAGCAATCTACTTTTCAATAGCAAAAAAGGATGTTTTTGATGGTATATAACCTCTTTTCTAGGACAGCATAGTTACTTTCCTACGACAGCAAAGTAGCTTTTCTATGCCAGCAAAGTGACCTTGTAGAAACTGTGAGTAAATTCTTTATAAAGTCACTTTGCTACCGCAAATAAACGAGGCCAGTAAATTTATCTTTTCGGCGGTAGTAAAGATCTTGGCTGTCCCCTATGTAGCCAAAATTTTTGGCTACGGCAGCAGAAAAATTAGCTATGACAATGAAAAAATTTTCTCAGTGTAGTAGTGCGTCCATCATAACAAAACCAGGAGATAAACAAACTCTATTTAAACCCCTAAACTTTCATTACCTGATCTGAAATAATGTCAATTAATGAAAAGTTTGGCGCTAGAGTTGTTTCTGCTAGTTTTGATGGATGCGCTGGCACCATTTCCAAAAAGATGCCCAGCGACCGACACTCGACTTGACTCGACAGCATCCACGATCCACACCGTACGGCGTTAGCTACTAAACTAAAATGGAAGAAAATGAACACGAAACATATTTTATCGGTTATTTTTGGACCCGACGAAATCACGGAAATGTCCGAACGGTATTTTTAGTTAAGTTATTTGGCTAGGGTAGCAAAAAACATTACTGTAACAATAACAAAAATTACAGGAATTTTTTTTTGCTGCAACAGTAAAGTATCTATCTATCTTAGAAAAGTTCTATTTCGGAGGAGCAGAAATATGTTCATAAAATTTTAATTTTGCTATAACAGCAAAGTTTGGTTTTGGAATAAGAAATATCTTTGCAGTTTCAAGAAAGTAGTTTCAGCAAAGTGGTCTTTTCTATAGAAGCAAAATAACATTGCTACCTCTAAAACATTTTCCACTGTAACAGCTAAAAAAAAACCAGCAAAGAATTTTCTCCTGCAGGGACTTTTCTCAGTGTAGCTATGGAAAAAAAAATTAATATCTATGTCAAAATCGATTAATTTTTTTCCATATTTCGGCGGTTTCCAGATAGCTTAAGATTGCGCCTCACATTCGAGAACCAAGTTCTCTTTAAATTTCCTCCTGACAGTATGTTAATTCTATTGTGAATAATTTCAATTACCTACCTATGTTGAAGAAATGAAGAATGATGGAACCTGGAGTAGATGGTGACAGAATAGCGAGTCATAATAAACAAAAAAGTGAAATCGTAGAAGACACTGCTGGACTTAGTGGAGGAACCAATAAGGAATGTAACAGAAACCCCGTGGATGGGAGTTGCCTGGTTGCCACGAACAATCTGAGCTACGAACCACATACAGGCAGGGGGACTTCAAGCTGAGGAGTAGAGGTACATGTAGAAATGGTTATCAATGATAATGATGATAACTTGGTACATAATATATAGTTTGGTAATAATGACTGATTAAATTTTACAAACAACACAAGGAGCTATAACTATTTATGTAAAACCCATTCGTGATAGAAATTATGCATGTTATCCACTGCAGTGAAATGCTTTTTTCTCCTACCTTGTTATACAAAGATAGCTACCTATTTGCACTTTTCAAACGATTCTTCAAATTCATAACATTAAATAATTTCCTACATGTTTGTGAATAATTGTTTGCCTGAAAATAAAGGCTTACAATAACAAAAAAATGCTATAAGCTTATATCGTTGGATCTAGGAACACAAGTTCCCGATAAAGCGCTTGAAAAGATATATGAGTAAAAAAAAATGAAAATGCCGTAGTTAAAGGAGATTAGCGAAAATTTATGAATTCCCAAAATTACTTCAATGGGTTTTCTTCATTCGTTGACATTTTTCTGCGATACTATCAAAAAGCATAAGACAAAAAAGGATTTCAAGTTAGGCTATAGTTTCAACAAACATGACCGAAAACACACAATTTATTAAAAAACATTTTATTTTTTGATAACAAAAAAAACTGGAGACATTTCTCTCATTTCAAATAAATTTACCGTTCAATCAAAACACTCCAAAGTTATGAATGGCATCTACGAGCATGACCACTCCTGCTGCCAACGTCAAAATACCACCAATTAATTGGTAATCATGGGTGGTATGTTTGTAGTCGATTCTATAGATTATCACACCAATTCCAGCTGAAAAAAAAAATGGTCAAGTTAATATGAATAATATGAGTATTTGTCCTCAAATTTCAAATCGATCGACCCAAATAAACACTATTTGAATCAGAGAGAATTCAACCTTCAGCATACAATATATCAGTCGCTCTTATGATGAAACAAATTTGTTTTTGAAGCTAATGCTTCTGATCAGATCGAGTTAGCAAGCTATCTTAGTATCTTATGAAGTAAGGCATGTCTACCTCCAATAGTCCAAATACATCCACAGACCAACAAAATTGCCAAAAAGGTTTCATCAACTGGATCCTTAATGAGGCTCCATATAAAACAGAATCCTAGAATAACAATAAAGCTGCCTGTGGAATAAATAAGGGAGTTGGATACGTTGATGGATCTTGCAGACCAGTTGTCGGTCTTAGATGAAACTAATAAACCCACAGTTACGACACAGCAAATCTGAAAAAAAATATCTTGAATTTCGAGCTTCTACATATAATGGGGTTGTAGAAAATTGTGTTAGGTACCTACCAAAGCAATTATTTTCATTATTAGAGGCACATCGACGCCTCGACCTCTTCCTTTTCCGGAACCCATTTTTATGAGTGGGTTTAGGAGATGTAGTAGTTGTAAAATAAGTTGCGCTTTGTGAACTTGGGAACTGTCAAAACTTGCTCAAGGAAGATTATTTTGATAGATCGAATGTCAATATTCCTGATTGGACTTCAAATACTTATAGTTTTTTTCTATCCAAAAATATAGTTTTTTTTTAGTATCTATAAAACATGGGTAAAGGCGCAGGAGTGAACTTTAACTTGGATTTCATATTGAGAATAATAGAGCTGGTAAGTAAATATTCTGTAGTTGTTTGTTTAATTTGATAAAGTATTCCACAAATATTCCACTTCGGATTTATAAAAAAATCGGAAGGAGTTTTGGGAGGATCGATCCCTAGCTGAATCCAAGAAAGGTCAAAAAGGATGATCCGTAGTAGTATTGTCTTTGTCCAACCCCATCTCATCTAATCATTCGTTGTGAAATTCGACTGTCAAAATTGTTCGAAAGTTTAAAATTTCCAAGTACCTAGTGTCTCTTTCACCCAAAAGGGGCTACCAAAGATGCATTTCGTTGAACATTTCTAATTTTAATGAAACAATAAAGAGTTCCGGGTTTTTATTGAATTTCTCGATCAGATCCAAAAATGGTGATTTTAATGATGAGACAGTCTTGTTGACTTGTTAAAAAGCTAGTAAAGCCTTTTTCATAGAACTTCTTGACATTCACAGATGATGTGCGAAGGTGAATTCTAGCAATTATTAATCTATCTTTGATATGATATGATTTTGCCCTTCGGTAACTTGGAGCTGGAACGTTCGCTATGCTGTCAAGAAATTTAAGTATACTTACGCATATCTTTTTGACAGTGTGGCGAGTGCAATATATTCTATGTTGTTATCTGAATGTAGCTTTTTTTGAGAGAGAATTGTATTTTAAAGCTTTATTTCATTTATGTTTCGATTATTTCGTAAGCCCTGTCGGTAGTTTTGAAAAGTAGAGATAGTGCCATTTAAACAAAATTTCTTTCCTTACCTATTATTATTGAGTCTTCCCACTGAGCAAGAAACATCCTTGGGATGTTTTGTAACGTTTTTAAAATGGAACTTATTGAACGTTTTTTATTTAACGTAGTAAAGTCATATTTGTAACTACCTACCTACTTTTCAAAACGTTTTGCATATATCCCGTTTTCAGAACGTTATTTTGCAATTGTATTGGTTCTGTTGTAGACAGGGTTGGATGAACCCACCGGGATACCGGAAAATTCCCGGTGGGCCGATCGGAGTGTGGGCCCATCTTTAAGGCAACAGAACCTTTTTCAAAATACCTTCATACAGATGGCCTCAATACCCAGCAAACACACTGACGTCGATATGATGACATTTGACGGGATTTTTTGGTCCGCATTGAGCCTAGTACTCATAACTGCGAAATTCGCATTTTTTTGACATTGCTTCGACAATTTGACGTTTGATACACGCATAAAACGTCAAATTTTCAACGCAATGTCAAAAAATGCGAATTTCGCAGTTATGAGTACTAGGCTTTGGTCTCCGACGTCATGATACCAAATAATGACGTCAATAAATACGTCATTATTAGGTCGTTTTAATGACGACATTCAATTATGACATTTTTACGTCATTAAATGGTAAGGAAGAGACATATCTATTTTGTCATCAACATCAATTTGCTATTTATAATTTAGCCACCCCTATAGTTGATCAATAATTTTAGTAGGAAGGTATTAATTTATTGAATCTCGGATAAATGAAAACTTTCTGCCTAAGTATAATTCCTATTTTTTAATTATTTGCTATTTACCCAAAGGTATATATACATTACATCCACAAGGAAATTATAAACATACAACATACTTTGAATTACCCGCTCACAAATGGCAGTCGGACTCCATCTTGGCGGACAGCGCCGCGCGCCGGCGCGTGGTGAAACCTGAAAGGAAACCGAAAATCGAATAATAATTTCTCTTTTAATTACCTACCTTGTACCTCTATACCTACTCATATTTAAGTGTATTGTGAAGGCTGATTATAGCCTTGTGGTAGTGTCAAAAATGGTATTTTTTCTCCAAATCTCAGAAAAACGTCACTTTGTTAACCCCTGTCAAGATGTCAGAAATTTGATTTCTATGCTGCTAGGCAAATCCAGCAGGTTAACACCTGTCGAGGTGGTAGAAATTTAATTTCTATGCTGCTTGGCAACCCCAGCGGCAGCAAAAGTACTTTTAGTGCCGCTGGAGCGGCAGTAGAAGTACTTTTAGTGCCGCTCGTACTTTTGCTGCCGCTCAACCATTCACTTGCCCCCGAACTTACCCCATTGGTTTGGAGAAAAAATAGCGTGTTGCATACGGAGTAGAAGCACTTTTTTGTGCGTCAGCAGTATTGCAAGCCTCACTACGTTCGGCTCGCAAACCTACCGCTCCAGCACAAAAAAGTAAAGCTTCTACTCCTAATACAACAATATACTATTTTTGGCTGCAATTTGTGTGTGAAAACAATTATTTCTGTAGTGAATAAAAATTGGGTGTTACCGAGAAAACACGTTTGGTGGCCGCCATTTAAACTCTAGTTTGCTGGTGGATTAGTGGAAATAGCGTCTAATCCACCTGAGTAAAGGGGCTATGACAGTTCTACAGCAAAATCAGTCATTTTCCCATGTAAATCTCCATAAGAAAATCTAAGGTCCGTTCTGGCAATTTTTGTACCGTTCAAGGTCATCCGTCCAGCCCGCCAGCAGTCGTTGCCGCTAAGCCCCGCCCCCTTTCCAGTGCCCGTGTCTTTCATCGGTCGCACTAACTGATCAGCCGCCGCTGCGTTCGGGGTCATTAACCGTACCTGGCTCCAAGCGACTCATCGAAAACACATAGCAGCTCGTGACTTGGTACCTCATTCAAGGTGCATTGTACTGATGATGACGTAACTAATAATAAAACGTCGTTTCGCCATCGGGTCTGATGATGACGTAACTAATAATAAAAATGTTGTTTAGCCATCGGGTCTGATGATGACGTCACTAAAAATAAAAACGTCGTTTCGCCATCGGGTCGTCAACATTTATTGCAACCACAGCGAAACCATAACTTGTAACTTTCCTGTGACCTGCGATAAACAAGCTCTGACTAGTCTGTAGCCAATCACCAGCTTCGTATCCACCTGCACACTCCAGCGAACTTTTCCTAGAAATATGGGCCATCGTTTCAATTTTACTGTTGCTTATTACGTTGGCATCCTACGATAAGCCAGTCCTAACAAGTCTAATTAATCAGAAGGCTGAAGTCTCTCGTCTCAAAATAAGAAATCAGCGACAACAACCCGGAGATTTTTTTAAAATTATTTACATCATATTGATACAACGCTTTCGCTCGTATTCGGATCAAAATTGCCGCTAGTTCGAGTGACTTTTATTGTCAACATGCCTTAGACCCATGACTCATTTATACAAATATTTCTCTACAAAAATAATTCTGTCTCAAGTTTTCCTCATAAGGATTTTCCTGGCATTTTTGCTTCAAATATTCATTACCTATCATCAATATATTGCTAAATTATATTAACACGTTCACCAACAAAAACAAAAATAAGGCAAACGCGTCGCATAGGAAATTACACTGCTTGAGCCGTGCAGCCGCAATACTGATAAACTATTTTCATTCAGAGTAAACAATTAAACCTGCGACAATGATAAGAGCAGGCGTTACGTCATAGACATATATGTGAATATTTTCATCATTGCAGTACTACTTAGATAAAAATGTTGTGTTAGTAGATAATCAAAGGGGGTATGACTACAAAATTCCGACCATAACCTCAATCTTTCATTCTTGACACGTGGTGGATGCGCCGTCGTTGACACGAAGGTGGATGCGTCGTCGGCGCCATCTTGCCAAACGTCATGGCGCCATCTGTCGTGAGTGCGGTGAATTATTGCAATTGATCGACAGGAAGGGTTCAAAATTACAGGTTCCTGTAATATGGAGTTTGCGTGGAAGATATTGTTTTATGTCGTTTAGATGTCGCTACGTATATTTAATTATAGTTCAGGTTCTGATGACGTCATAGTGACCTGGGTCACGTGGGTTACGTCAGTGTATGTCGGTGGCGCCATCTAGCGTACATAGTGCAATAAAGTTCAATTTACGGTTCAGGTTCTGTGATGACCTTATAGCGGCCTGAGACACGCGGGTTACGTTATTCTGTTATCGGTGGCGCCATCTAGCCTACATAAAGTAAAGTTTATTGTGTTCTAATACAGGATGCCGTAGTGGTAAATAAAACAAATTCATAAATCAGCACGCCGCCGACGTTTAATGTGGGAAAGTAATAAACAAAACAGGGGTATCATATTTCACGGTTATTTTTACTTATAACTGATAAGCGCTTCCGTTTTAGCAAAAACAACAACAAGCTCGGACTTGCATTTATATTTTATCAATGATAGGTAAACATTCATGGATATTTTCACTGCCGACTAACTACATATATGTATAATAATATATTTATATCCTACTGAACTATTAAAACCATATAATACCTTGGTTACGATAATCATAAACAGGGTCTTAACTCCCAAGGGAGTTAAGGATTTTCATAACTCCCAAGGGAGTTAAGGAAGGGAGTTAAGAATATCATAACTCCCAAGGGAGTTAAGGATTTCCATAACTCCCGCTTTTACCTTGAATAGGTAACACTTTGACAAAAAATAGAAGTGACATAAAACCGTTCAGTTCTCTGTCCTCATTCAATAGTTTGCAGTTTCTCAAAGAGTGAAGACGCGCAAAGCTAGTTCTCCTATACTGATCTATACGATACGTTTGTGAAAAATAATAGTCATTAGAAGATGTCCCTCTTCGCAGATTTAGTGAAACATATAGCCTCTCTCCTGGGGCTACTTACACCAAAATATAATGATATCATCGCTAAAGGAGGACTGGAGGAATGTACTCGAGGAGTAAGAAAGCTCAACAAAGCGATCAAACAAGCAGCATCCATGGGTGAAAAGCAACACTTAGAGTCATGTCTGCGGAATATAAGAAGTATGAGGAAGCAGTTCAAGAATATGCAAAAGAAAGGGGCAGGACTTTCACCACGTCCTGAAGGAGCAAGAGAGCGAGTGCATTGGGATGATTCAGTTTCAGCGTTTAGCAGCAGGATAAGGACTGCAGTTATCTCAAATTTGAAACACAAAGAGTCAAAAGCATTCTTGGTTGATTGTGCTGCATTGTTTAAACGCAGGATCCAGAATGCTCTTAAAAAGGATGAAGCCATCA